CTGTGCCATGCAACATGCAACAACATGCAACATGTTTGCTTCTTTGGACAGCCTATGAACATGTGCTTCTCTGTTGCTGCAGCTGCTTATCCCAAATCATTTTGTGTTGGTCTTTGCCACAAATACAAAGGGTTTTCTGCTCAGCATTCTTTACTTCTGATGCTCATGCACACCTTGGTACTGAAGGGTGTGATACTAAATGATCTTTACGAGTCTTAAACATAAGTTTATAACTAAGCCCTGGATTTTTTAAATCTTTATCAATCCAAAAGTGGAGTTTTGGATCTGAGATCAGATCAAAAAGATCATGTTTTCGGATTTATGTTTGGAACAAAAAAATAATAAAAATAAAACAAAATTATCAAATTTTCTTCAGATATCTGTTTATTAATTAATTAATGCAGTGTACAATATTATAAACTGTTTAAATATGACCATGCTCATACAAGAAATCTATTAATATTTTCTTCTGTCAGACTGTGTCGACGGTCAGTGTTGAGAATGTTTTTATACAATGAAAAGTTCTCTCAGCCTTGAACATAGTCACAGTATAGTATTTCAGCAAAGGTACATTGGCAAGTTCTACAACCTCAGAGATCTCCAAGACAGCTATTAAATTGGGGTAGCACAGAAAAACTACTGTTCTTCTCCAAAAGTGGTTCCAGCTTCATGCAAAGTTTGCCTTCACATAAACCTGGAAGGTTTTGTATAGAATCCTCTAATGCTTGAAAAATTTTTAGAGATTCTTTAAGTTACAATCCCTCTTGATATCCGGAAAATTTAACAAATGAGTGCAGATGTAAGATTAAATGTGGATTCTCCAAAGTTCCTTAACATCCAGAATGAGATTATCTGATTCATGTGCCCCATATCGTGACTATGGGAGAGGGTGGCAAAGGAGTATTTGGAAGATGCTCACGATGCATAGCAGTTCACATTGTGTCTTTGCAAGTAGTTTCTTGCTGGAACAAATGAGGGCATTTACATCTTTAAAATGTAAACAAACTTGTTCGGCCAGAAGATGTAAAGCGTGATTCAGGCAGGTTACGTGAATAAGACTATATAAAAAGTTCTTGTCATGCTCACAGACAACACAGTCTTCTGTAAGCATGACATAACTTTAATTATACAACAGCATTACACATTTCTGAATAACTCTAGCTATTGCTTCTGCATTCATACTCTCCGGAAATTTACATAAAAGATGATAAATTTTAGTGCAGTCTTTTCCGTCAGGTTTTCGTACTAACATTAAAGCAACATATCATCTACAGCAAACCATATAACATTGTCACTAATTTCTTTGCGGATTTCTTCAAGCACTTCCTGATGAACACATGGAAGATAATTCTTCCGCAGTGTTGATTCACCAGGAAGATTCTGCTTTGTGTATTTTTCTAAGTGCTTCCTGGGTAAGGGATGCTTCAATTTATGCAATTCTATATTGCATCCTATAAAGGTCTTTGCTGTATCTAAGAAAAATATTTCTTTGATCTTGAGATTTTTGTGAGCAGTATCTGGGATATTTGATCCTGTCGATGTGCTGCTTGCACATGTCTTTCAGAACGCACATGATCCTCAAAATGTGAATTCTTCATGCACATAAATATGTGCACAAAAGATGCATTTTGATATCCATTTGACCTTGCAGAACACTTTCAAGCCATCCACTGTGAAGTCTCACTTGGATTCCCTCACCCACTTCAGCAGAATTTGATACACAGAACTTTTATTCTTATCCATTAAATTTCGTAATCTGTAATTGAATATGAAACTTTGAGGCTGCACACACTTCACACTGTCACCAATAACTTATTAAAAAGTAACCAGAAAGTTACCAAATAAATTTAAATTAGCTCAAAAGATAGCCAATCTTTTGAGCTAATTTAAATTTAGTGGGTTTTCTGGACATTAATAATTTTTATTTTCGTCAATTAAAAAAAACCTGAATGTGGCAAAAAGTAATTCAACTTGGCAACATTGTTTACAAAACAATGTTCAAAGGTGTCTCTGTTTTTGTTCTAAAATCTGAAATGGTTTTTTGGTTCCTACAATAGCATCAAGGACCACATACATGACAGCATTTTTCTGAAAATTATGTATGTATTAAAAAATTGCAAGAAAATCCAATAAATCAAACATTTTTGTTGATTTCGGTTCAAAAAACATAAAAAGTTCATTTTTGTCGATTAGAAGCAAAATATGTTATTTTTGGAACTCTCCTTGGATTCTTGGATAAATCCACAAAATCCAGGGACTATTTATAACACATAATTGACAAAAACTTAATCTTACCAAAACTCAGGACTTTTGTAACACATGGCGGAACACGGGACAAATTGTTAAAAATTGGGGCTGTCCCTCCTGTCTGGTCACCTCGTAGGAGGAATGAAGAATAAGTCTATCAAATATATTTTTTGTAATAATTCTCATGAGAGCAGAATGTGTTTCCATTCTATGCCCTTGTGAGGATTATTACAAAAGAACAACAAAATTACTAAGACTCTGCTTAACGCTGATTCAATATAATGTGGTCTGCTCGAAGACGAAAAAAAGCTCAAAATTTATGTTGATTTAAATTATCATGGTATTTCATTGTTTTGTATATAATACGATTATTTGCGAACACAAACCAATCAGCAAAAGGTGGCAAAAAGATGTACTTTCTTTAAATCTATGTTTGGTGCAATTTTTGGAAAATATAACATCATGGATGCCATAGGAAATATTGACTTTGCTTGGCAAGAATTAACTGATAAATGCATGAATGAAATGTGGAAGAACTTATGACTGAAGGTATACAAGAATTCTCAATGAGAAGAGCCTATCGCTGTATCGTTAAGTTGACCAAACAACCTAATCGATATAGCAGGACTAGGAGATATAGACGAGCAGGATATTGAGGAGTTACTGCAGGTTTCTGGTGAGAGCCTTATCAATGATGACTTTTAAGAACTGGCAGAACATGGAATTCATGTGGAACTGGAAAATAGAGATTCTGAAAATGAAGAATCCAAAAAATTTCTCTACAGATTTCCTTAGTAAAAGTTTGGTAAGATAACCGAAATCATTGATCAAATTGTAGCGAATGATCCAGATTTTGAAAGGAGTGCAAAAGCAAAATGAGGCATTTTGGATGCAATCTTCTGCTACTGACATTTGCTCAAGGAAAGAAAAAAGTGACAAATTAAACGTTATGACATTATTGCAAAAGAACAAGAATTTCAGAAAAGTCAGGACTTTTGTCACAAAAATGAACTTACATTTCTGTGTGCCTGTTGTGGTGTGCACGTGGTGATGAATGAATTCTCACAAAGAGACAGGAATATAAAACAATAAGACGTGCTTTATTTTACTGTATGAACATATATACAGGAAAGGTTCGTTGATTCCGACCTCCTTGTTCCTCACTTTAATTAAACAAAAGGGAACAAACAACACCGATTGTTGATTCACAGTGGAGCTAAACTTTTCTTTCGCGTAACAAAGGAGACACTTAATTACTAACTTAAAACTACTTATAACTAGAAGAGGAAAGGAAGAACAAGAATTAGAATAGAATGGGAGAACAAGAATGGAAATTTCTAGTAAGGAACGGGTACCCGAATGGTTGACTGCGGTGGTGGCCACTAGATGATTTCGTCTTGGGATTCTTTTCTTCTATGGGGACGGAGCACATGCGAGGACCCAAAGTTCGTCCTTTAGTCTCGGCTTTACCAATGTTCTTTTTCTCTTCCAAAGCTATTTCTATCTTTAGTGTTCTTCGTAACCCTTCCGGTCGAAGCAACACCGAACTCGAGACCGCTCTCTCCGACGGTCTTTCCTCCTTCCGTCCAAAGCCAAAAGTGTCCTTATCGTCCCCCACTTGCCCTCTGGGCTATCTTCACCCCTTTGTCCCGAAATTGGGTCACTGACCACCCACATTCAGACGAAAGTTCCAGAAAGTATAGAAACAGAACAAAGAGAAAGGGGAATAGAATATTCTTATATATACATATATAAAATAAAAACAACAAAAATATACTGGTGTACCACCACACTGTTTATATGTTATTTAACATATATTATTATACAAATTAATATAAAAATAACTTAAAATTAAAGTAAAATTTGTTGATTTTTGGTTGTGTGTTCTCCTATCCCTATTTACTCTGTTAAAATGACCTTGTTAAACACTTTCACTTAGCGCTTTGTTGTTTAAGAACACATCCCCAAGTTAAATGGGGTCTTACTGTACATATTGTTATTCATCATCAGTCTGCAAGTGCTTTTTAATTAGTTTTGCTATGCATTATTTAACATGCATATCATTATGAAAATTATTGTCAGGCACATTTTGCTTACTTTTTCAAACTTTGGTTGACAAATATGTATAATTTTTGGAAAGAAAGAATAAGTTTACTTTTAGAAAAATTAACACAATATGCACAAAATAACGCCTTTCTTACTTATTCCAGCAAAGTTTATCCTGAATTACAAATGTTAAAAAGCGGTTCCAATTATCAAAAAGGTTTCTCAAATGTTTCAAATGGAATGGCTTTTTATTTAAAGAAGACATCTAAATGCAACTGAAGTGTTAGAATAAATATTGCTCGAATAAGTAAGAGATATTATTGTATGCATGTCAGTATTAATTGAAAAATTCCAGTTTATTAATAAACTGCACATGTCTTTCAGAACGCACATGATCCTCAAAATGTGATTTCTTCATGCACAAAAATGCATTTTGATATCCATTTGACCTTGCAGAACACTTTTGAGCCATCCACCGTGAAGTCTCACTNAATGGCTTTTTATTTAAAGAAGACATCTAAATGCAACTGAAGTGTTAGAATAAATATTGCTCGAATAAGTAAGAGATATTATTGTATGCATGTCAGTATTAATTGAAAAATTCCAGTTTATTAATAAACTTGAAAAATTTTTTAAAAAATGAATCTTGTAAAATTAACATACTTTTTTACATAAAAATCTGATTGAATTAATATTTTTTTATTCAGATACTGAATTAACCGGAAGAAGAAAGAAATGGAAGAAACATTTGAGGATTTTGTTATTGTTGATCGAGCAGCTAGACTTTTTAACAACAATCATCTTAGTGATGTAACAGTTATAACTGGAGAAGGGGCAAATCAAAAATCTTTTCCTGCCCATAGTCTTATTTTAAAAATTTCTAGTCCAATGTTTGAAGAAAAACTTCAAGGTGAAAAAGAACTGAAATTTCCATCTGTCAATCCTTCAGTAATGGAAGCTGTTTTAAAGTAAGAAATTATTATTCTGTGTAAACTGCACATCATTGTTATAAATGAATTGCAATTTTTAAAAAGAATTTCCATGTTTTCATCTTTGTCTATAATAATGCTTTTATAATAGACTTATAAATTAAAAATACATAGCTTTAAGAGAATTTATGCTGTTAAAATGTTTTAAAGTTGTATTTACACCTGTATCAACAATACTTCGTTTGTGTGAATACAACTGTCAAAAGGGCCTTTATTTTGATTCTTTTCAATTTGTTCAATTTTCAAACTTAAATTATAATATACTAAATGCAACTTATAAATACAGTAAATTCTTGATGAGTTGAACTTCCTTAACTCAAAATTTTTGCAAGCCCAAATTTTATTTTCGTCATGACTTACTGTATTTTATGGTATATAAGACAATTTCATTTCAGCGTAGAATAATTAGGAAAAGTACTTAGTATATTTAGTTAATCCATTGTGTGTCTTTGGCACTTGACCGTAAATTTTTTTTACTGCATTCTGGTTCAAAAAAGTAAAATTAAAATGCCATATTTTTATTACAGGGAAAAACGGAGTTTAAAAGTCATTTATTATTAAAATTTACTATTAAAATATTTAACGTGAATACATGAAAAAGCTGCTTAACCATAGCATATAATAATTATACTAATAATATGTTTAATAATGTTTAAACAATAACAGTTTTACATCAAACCACACCAGGAATTGTGTAATAACAAACACAGAACTAATTTCCAGTGTGTATAAATAAATAAACAATCTCTGCACAAACATTTTCTAACTCTTTCTGATTTCTTCAGGTGCGACAAAACAGTTACCTGATGGAACATCCTTTGGAACAAATATGAATGTATAAAAGTTTTTAAAAAATGTGATTTGAACCATAAATATAAATTTAAAGCTGTATTGTAAAGCTGCACATGTAAAGCTGCACATGTATTGCATAATGATCCTGTGCATAATGATCAATCAACTAATGACTATACCATTGTGTCAAGCAGAGCCTGCCAGGCCATTGGCAACACTATTTCCTCCTTAAAATTTATATAAGATGATGCAAATTTAGCTTTAAAAAATTTCTATGGCCTCAATCATCTGAGGTGTTCTGTATTCAATGTTGTGAGAAGTTGGCCCATGTGAAATCCACCACAATTTCCTGATCCACTGTATAGGTAGAGAGGGTTGTGGAAGTTCTGACATGTTGCACATCTGAAATATGTTCTTGTTTTTATAGAACGTTTAGTGGACCCAATGTACAGAAGGTCCCTATTTCATCTGGTGTCTCTGATAGGGACACTGTATATGCTAGGATTGGGATGGTCCTTTCCATTATGAAAGATAGTGAAAATAGACTGGTCTCTCTGGAAAGTTATATGGATTGTATCTTTCCTGATAATTTTTGCATATAACGGGATGCAGTCACGTGATATAACACCATTGCTCCACCCAACAAAACAATTGTCTGCCATATTGGTTGCTTATTTCACATTATCTTGCTCATTCATTTTATTATGTCAACATGGAAGAAAAGAATTTTACCTGGCTATGCAGCCAGTTTAAAAGGTAATGATTTGACGAAATATAAAGAGAAAATTTCTTTTATTAGATGGGATCATATGAAATGAAACCAACGGATTTTTCATCCAATGATTTAACCATGTGGCCCACTATAGAACATGTAGACATAGTAAAATATTTGGTTTTAACAACTAACCCTGTCACACTGAATCAGATGAAGGCATACAAATCACTTGATGCCCATAATTATTTGCAAATCAGATTTATTCATTGTGATATTTTATCAAGAGTCATTTGTAATGATTTAATTTTGTTTGTAGGAAAGGTATGTATCTTCATGTGAGACTTTCCTTTACTCATAACATAAACTGCATTATGTAAAATGAATGTAATTTTATATTTAGTCACATTTTAAGTTGATTAAGTTGTATTTATAATTACTATCAAATTTTTTTATTTTGTCACCATGGTTTTGTGTTGTGGAAGTCTTTAACAACTTATTATTAATAACTAGCTTACCCGTCGTGCATTACTGCGATCTCAGAAGAAACGAAATTCAAGCAAACTCGTTATGATAAAATTAAATTTACATTTTATCATTTTTATTGAAACTTTATTATTATTATGTGTTGGGTTTAGTGGGTTATACTCGGTACACACCGGTGGCTGTGTACTATGCCGGACCAGAGTCAAGGCATAGCAACCAAAACAAAACTAAAATTAAATGTGTGTGTCAGTGTCAGTGTCTGTATTAAGGAATTTCCTAACAATATGGCATGTATTCAATATAGTGGCCTTCTGTAGTGTGATGTATGTATTTCTACT